CCCCCCCCCCCCCCCCCAACCAATTTTATCCTGTGCAATTTTCACCCAAATGTGTCAATTAATATAATCTCCTTTAGGTATATATGTAAGTTGCTAACTAGATTTTTTTTTCTTGGGTCAATTTTTAACAAAATATGTTGGCATATTTATTGGTTCTTGAATTGATGAGTTATCATTTTATCTTATTCAGCCTTTAATGGTTGAACTGTCAAAATTTTGATCAATTTTTCTGTCTGCATAGATGTAAGAATATGCAAATTAAGACCTGATTGTATATAGTATCGTTAAAATTGGCAAAATAAATTATTTATCCCTACTTTTAATTTGTATACTGCAATCTTTTTGAAATTATGAATGTTGATGACAAAGTTGACTGGAGATAATTTTCTAGTCAGATAATTAACGAACAACATGAATTAGCAGTGGCACTGACCAATGGGATGGGTTGATAAGCATAATTATAAACAAAGAGAAAGGCTTATGAATTCTATGAAGAGGCGTTATTCAAACTTGTGGGATACCAAATTGAGTTCTTATTTATTTTTTAATTTTGATTTTGGAGTTTCCTCTCATCTGCTAAACGCTACGGCTACCAATGAATTGGGTGTCATGGTTTTGCATTATGAACAACCAAATCAATCTTATTTTAAAATTAATTTTTATTGGATTTCAAAATTGACTCGATCAATTTTCAATCAAAACGGGTTAGTTGAACCGCTTCTTAAAATATAAACCAGTTTTATTTTATTTTATTTTTAATTTTTTAAATATATTTGGGTTGGATGGTAGTATGGTAAAAAGGAGGAAGTTGGATTTTTTTACAGTCCACGATTCTAGGATTATTTTCCATATAAATATGAATAGAATTCGGGATTGAATCCAAGACATTTTCTCAAAGTATTTCCAGTTTATATTCGTACCAACACTTATTGGTGTCAAATTTTGGGTCGTCTCAATTTTTTATTTATTTTAAAAATAAGTATTTTTTTTAAGAAAATAAACATTTTTTAATAATTCTTTTTATGCGAGGGCCTGATTTTTTTATAAAAAATTTGTTTTCTGTTTTTAAACAATTGCTTTCTTGTTACCAAAAAAAAAAATTCCTATCTATTAAAAAAAAAACATTTCTTTAGAAATATTTATTTATTTGAAACAACTTGATCCTTTGAGTGTAACAGTACAAAAATGTTTATAAATTATTGTTCTAGTAATTTATGCTTAAATTATCGTACGTATTAATAATCTGATAATGAAAATATCTTTTTAATAATACTTGAATATTTATTAATAAATATAATAACAATTTAATCTCTATGCACTTTTGATATAAAAAGTTATATTAAAAATTATGATAGGTATAACTTTTATAGTGTGTTTGAATGAGGAATTTAAATGAAGTAATTTATTTATTTGAAGAATTTCAAATTCTTTGAGGTGAAATACCTTGTTTGGATGAAGAATTTATAAGAAATTTGAAATTTAAACATGTGTGAAATTTCTTAAAATAGTAAAATTTCAAATTCTCCCAAAAGAGTAAGAATTTAAAATTTCTAATTTTTTTCTTCTTCTTATTTCACTTATATATTTTATCTTATTTCTTATTTTTTCATGTTTTTAATTATTGAATATTCAAAAATATATTTAAAATTATTACATATTATCTAATATTAACTTTTAAAATTATTAAATATTTAAAAATTAGCTAATATTTATCTTCATAAAATCTAATTTAAAAATCTCAACATATAAATATATTTTTTAAATCAACTTTATCATGATGGAATCAAATTATCATATCCAACCAAACAACTTAAATTTTGAGAAATTTGAATTGACTTATCCAAACAAAATATTATAAAAATGATAGAAATTGAAATCAAAGTAATTCAAATACCAAGAATTTAAAGTTCCTTAAATTTGTAAAATTTCTCATCCAAACACACCATTAAGTAAATTATTGTAAAGAAAAATAAACTTACAATACATGTCGATTTGTAATTAAGTGACTTTAAAAATTTAAAACTCTTGGTTCATCAACTATTTTCTCATAACAATCTATGATCAAATTTTTTGTTAATAAAAACTTTAGTAACCATAACATAATATGCTATTCCTTCTAAAATCATATTTTAAGACACTTTTAAAAGATACTGTTAGGATTTTAAATAGGCAAGCGCACCCAAGTCTCTGTAGTATGAATAAAAGGTTGTCGAACCTCAGGGACTTGTGAGATAACTTAGATTTCTATTATATTAATTGATGCTTATAAATTTAAAACTGGAATAGTTACACATATTCAAATTTGATAAAGATGATTTTTCAATTTCAAGAACCCACAGAGTAATTTGATTTAAAGAAAAACAGATATAAGAAACAGTCGGGATTTGATTTCATCAATCTCCCTCCTATGTATTCCTATTGATTCTTTCTAAAGGTTCCATTACTCATTGTCATTAAGTTCACTAAATTCATTCAAACCCAATTCCTTGGCATAAGAAATTCTAAGATATTTAACTCAATGAATGATTCCTCACTTCATTCAGTTAAACATCCCGCATTAAGAATCAGAACTTGATACAACTATTAATTTCAAGACCATTCCTGGCTCTCAAAACTAATAGGTGATTCGTTCCAAGTCTGGATTCAGAAACGTTTTCCAACCAAATCCGAAACCCGAGATCAGAGATAAGTGATCAGATTATCAAAGCATTAAGAACAGGACAGAATCACTAACATAAAGTAATGGATGATATATATATATATATATATATATATATATGAATCAAAGAGAATACATAGGAGTTTGATGATTACATCTATCCCAACCCTAGAGATTAGCTCTCCATATTACAAGAAATCACCAAATTACAAGTTGAGAGATAGAAGAAGAAGATCCTTTGAAGATTCGCGTTCCCACGAGCTCCAGAGTACTCTGTTTTTCTCCTCTCTCTGTTTTCTTTCTCCTTCCGTACAGCCTTTTTGACTTCTCTCTCTTTCTTTCCTTATATATGAAAACAGAGTAAGCAAGAGAGAGATGAATCCGCTCAGCGCCTTGAAACGGCTGAGCGGATTGGGAGTTCTTCACCATGAAGAAACCTCAATGGCTGAGCGCCTTAGATCCGCTGAGCGCTTTAGAGGCAGAGAGCACCCCTTGTTCCTGGATGAAATCCGCTGAGCGGATGGGAATGGCTGAGCGGATTGGAGGCAGAGAGCATTCCTTCTCCTCCAGGGGCCAATCCGCTGGGCGCTTCAGAATGGCTGAGCGCCTTCAGTTTGGGAAGTTCTCTGACTTGAATCCGCTGAGCGCTTCAGAATGGCTGAGCCATTCTTCTCCAGGTTTCAAAACCTACAAAATAAGCACCAATTTGGATCAAAGGCTTCCTATTCTCTATACTAACATTAATCAAAAGCACCTATTTAATTCTAAGCATATATAGATCAAAATAATATCAATATGTACACAAAATGTGCTAGATAAGTGTCTCAAGTGAGTATTAAATCAAACTAATTAGACACTTATCAGATACTTTTTTAAATGTTATTTATACTATTTTAAAAAGTTTTTTTTAGAACAATTATGATAATGTGAAGAAGAAAAAAGGAGGCGGAAGAAGAATGAAGGAAGTACACATAATATAAAGGGTGAGTGTTGGAAGAAGAAATTCGTGTAGAGTAATTTTCAAAAAGTACAAATTAAAAATAAAATTTAAGAATATTTTGAGGAATAAATGATTATAAGAAATATAGATATATTATTAATTAATAAAAATGTATTTAACAAAAATCTATTAAAATAATTTATAAAATTGTAATTAGTTAAATTATATCTTTTGGTATTTGACATTATTTTTAAAATTTTAGTCAATTTAATCTTTTAAAATAATAGTTATTTTTAAATTTGTAACATAATTTAAAATAAAAATTTAATTAATTAAAGACGTAAAACAAATTAGATTCAATTGAAGAAGTGATTTGAATATCTATGTCCCAAGTTAGTAAGTTATATATAAAAATAAATAGGTTTATTTTTGTCTCTAACAGCGATACGATACCTGTGCGAGCGGAAAATGTTGAAACTTGAAAGTGGAAAGTATGAAGAAAAGGCACGTGCGAAGTGATAGCTATATATATATATATATAAGGGCACGTGCGAGAGGATGACAACAACATTCTACACACGCTTGGCTTCTTCTCTCATTTTCATAACTCATAACATAACAAAACAATGAGATCCGACAATCTTCGATTCTAGAGACAGAATCTGTCCCTTCGATGTGCAAATCGAAACGGAGCACAAGCGCCGTACAACCCAGAACACGAAGAAACACAAGCATGACTGATGAGTCTCCGCGACCTACCAGAACACGAACACTAACACTAACATCGTCATCGTCGAACTACGAAACGACGACGAGCGACGTGGCAATCACGGAATCAAGAAGCTACGTATACGAGGAGAAGAACAGCAGAGAGAAAGAGTGGTCAAACGCATCCTCCATCTCCAGCCACGCCTCTCTCTCAAGCCTCAAAGACACGCTCCCCGAAAACCCTAACATCTACCCCTTCTCCGAGATCTCCGCCGCCACCGCCAAATTCTCCAATCCCCGCCTCTCCTCCTCCGCCTGGCGCTGCTCCCTCCGCGCCCGCGACGTCGTCGTCTTCCGTCGCACCTTCCGCCGCCCCATCGACCTCCCGGAGCTCCGCCACCGCCTCGCCCTCATCTGCCGGAGCCACCACAGCAGCCTCGTCAAGCTCCTCGGCGCCTCCGTCTCCGGCTCCGCCATCTTCCTCGTCTACGAATTCGTCCCCGGCGCCAGCCTCGCCGACTGCCTCCGCAACCGCCGGAACCCTAGCTTCACCGACCTCAACACGTGGTCCTCGCGCATGCAGATCGCCTCCGACGTCGCGCACGGCCTCGACTACATCCACAATTTCTCCGGTTCCGGTTCGGATTCCGGTTCCGATTTCGGTTTCGTTCACAACCACATCAAGAGCTCGAGCATTCTCATAACGGAGGAGAATTTGCGCGCCAAAATCTGCCACTTCGGCGCGTCGGATCTCTGCGGTGAGGCCTCCGGTGGCCGGACGGCGAGGCTGGAGGGGACGAGAGGGTACATGGCGCCGGAGTTTCAGGTCTCCGGCGTCGCGACGAAGAAGAGCGACGTGTACGCTTTCGGAGTGGTGGTGTTGGAGCTGCTGAGCGGGGAGGAGGCGTTGAAATTCGAATTCCACGACGACGGTAGTTACCGGAGGACGAGCGTAGTGGAGACGGCGCGGGCGGCGGTGACGGAGAGCGGCGGCGTGAGGAAGTGGGTGGATAAGAGGCTGAGGGATTCGTTTCCCGTGGGCGTTGCCGAGAGAATGATTCGGGTCGGGTTGGAGTGTGTAGGAAACGACCCGAACGAAAGACCGGATATGGGTTGGGTTTCGATTGAGGTGTCGAAGTTGTACTTGGAATCGAAGGAGTGGGATGAGAAAATGGGAAATAATATTGATTTGTCGGTCTCGTTGGCCCCACGGTGACTCTTTTTGGGTTTAGGGTTTAGGATTTTGCATTCTTTTTACCTACATTTACATTTTTTTATTGTAAAGAAAAACTGATTGTGGCAAGAGTGTGATGTATATACTTTGTATATAATTACGGATTGTGTAAAATGCAAATGAAGGAAATTTCAACCAATTTTGGGTTTGAATGGAAGGATTCGTTGCTTTTGGATGGAGTGCTGTTTGGGACACCACCATAAACATAATAACGCAGATTTGAATAGAGAAATTAAGGTAGCAAAGTAGTATTTGAGTTCAACCTTGGGCGGTTCACAATTATTTATGAGCATGTCAGGGTGGCGTCATCAAGTTTCAGTCAACACGAGTTATCAGTTATAGTTGCCATTTTGACATTTTTTCAGTCAAGATCAGTCATCATTCCTAACTTGATTGCGGTTTTCGGCTGACTTCGGCTTATTCCAAGGATTATAAGTCGTACCATCATTCGCTATCTTATTATCGATTTGAGAATGAGTAGTGCTAGTGCTGTTAGTAATCATCATCTATATATCTCTAGTTTTTACTCCAAAATTGGACCAAAGACGAAAATGTCAAAATATGAATCGAATAAATACAACTATATTAAACCCTTGCATAGTTGCATATGCATGTTACCTCAGTTTCTGCCATTTGATTGTTCTTGAGAGGGCTTATATTTTTACTCACTCACAATTTTACTACATTCACAAATAGAAAAATATTTATTAAAATAAATTATTTAATTTGGTGAAACCAGAGTTGTAGACAGTTTTCATTACCCAGTCTTGCTGTATGGGCCCAATCCGAAAACTCAAAAGCCCAAAAGTGGCATAATGGAAAAGAAGAAAGCCCAAAAAGTCAGAAAGTAGGAGGTCTGAACATAACAGCGTACCAAACAGCCTTGAGGTATGGCGGCAAGGATGTTGCAGAGGCGAGTGATGTCAATGTTTTCGAGACAAACACATCACCCCATCATTCAAGGCATGTTCCCCACCTTCATTATTTTCCGATACCTCTGCGCTCTTTTTTTTCTACTTAACTGAATAGCTTCTATGTGCTTTCCAATCTCTTCAAACTTAATTTAAGTTAATTGGGGATTTACCTTTTTCTCTCTATGTTAATTTCTTTTGGTAATTATTTTATTTGTAGAGCTTCTCATAACTGCTTCTAAAAAGTTCTGGGTTTATCAAAGATGATGTTTTCAGGGATTCTTGATAGCTTTAGCTTCAAACCTTTATTGTTATGGTTTTCTTAGTCATAGTTTTTCCAAAAAGCATATCTTTTTAAAAATTTGGCTTGATTTGTTTGTAGTACTAGTGCTCCAGCTGCTTAGGGTAGCCAACCCTCTTTAACATCAAGTGTCAATGCTGGGAATTGAAGCTTCAGATGTTAGATAACAAATAGCTGGGTGTTAGGATTGCTTGCTTTTGTTTTATTTTATTTTATTTTTTTAATCCTTAGAAATCGAATTCGGTACTAAAGTTTTTCAATATTTGCTTGTTCTGTTATAATACCTGTAAATATTTGTTGTTTTTTATTTGGGTTGTTTGTTTTTTGAAAAATGCCTTGAATTAACTTTCTGATTCATTGATCGATTTCGTTCAAAACACTGGACAAAAGGAAATGAAAATATATGCTAAAGAATTCCTAGATTTTATAAACAGAATTTGACACTTGCATCTCCTATAATGCAAAGCAAACGCTGTTTTCAGAACAACAGGAAAGTGTAGGTAGATGTTGTTAACTTGAGTTGGACTTGCTCTAAGCAATCTCATGTCTTCCTCTTTATTCATTTTGCGGAAAAATATGTTTCTGATTAATATCTGTTCGAGTTAAAGCCATTTTCTGATCATTCAGCTAATATCTGAAGTTTATGCATTAAAAAATGAAGAAGTTTCAGTTCTCTCTCACTCTCTCTCTTTGTGCATTCCCTTGTGTGTGTGAGTTTTTCTTATTAATATCTGAATGGTGTTTATTGGCAGAATCTTCTTGGTATTCTCCTACCAGTGCAATATTAAACAGATATGGATTCCATCAAAGGGGGGTCACGACACATTCAAATCCAGTCAAATCTGTTTGTGAAGATGTAGAGAATAAGGAAGCTGACACCTTAAAATCAAATTCAAACCCAGATATTGTTGCTACGTCCATTAGTGTTAATGAGAACTCTTCTGTTAAGTTTTCTGCCAAATCCAGTTTGAAGACCTCCTCAAGGCATGATCTTGCTATGATTTTCACCTGCAAGGTCTGTGAAACAAGATCCATTAAGACGGTTTGTCGCGAATCTTACGAAAAAGGTGTAGTGGTGGCAAGATGTGGGGGTTGTAATAATCTTCACCTGATTGCTGATCACCTTGGGTGGTTTGGTGAACCAGGAAGCATTGAGGATTTCCTGGCTGCTCGTGGAGAAGAAGTTAAAAGAGGTTCAATTGACACACTGAATCTTACATTGGAAGATTTAGCTGGAAGAAAACCTTGAAGGGTACAATTTGAACAAATATATTTTCTGCATTAGGGTCTCACTGAGAGCTTGGAAGTGTAAGGGAGTGCAACGATAGCTGGTATTTGTAAACTCAGCTCTTCTGTCTATTGGTTTCCCAATACAACAAAGCCACATATTCAATGAACTGTTCCTTTATCAATTATTTTTGGTGGCTGTTGAAGGAATGCTTTTATGTATAGACTTATGCCTGGAAAGGAATTTATGGAAACAACAGATTTATTTGAGTAGAACTGAGATTTTAGGAGGAATGGTAGTTATTTCCTTTGGTGCCTAAATGCTTAAACTAGAACATCGTTTCAAAAGTTATATCCCCGTTTCTAATGGTTAAATTTATGTACTCATCTCAATTTCCTTTGTTGCATAAATGCTAAGTAGTTTGTTTTGAGAAAACCTTGGGTGGCCAAATTGTCAAGAGAAAATGGTCCGTGGGAACCGATACTCGGGAGAAAATGTCGAAGTAACAGAAGCATAGATAATAAATCAAATGATTGATATTACCTCTTTTATGTATATAATTATCTATTATCATGTGTTGAAATAAATGATAGGGATCTAGTTTGGGTTTGCGTTCTTCATGATTTTTTTGACTTCAGATGTGAAATTTCTTTGGAAGTGAAATTTTTTAGATTAAATTGAGTACTACTAAATTTTGTCTGACGTGTTTTAATTATATTCTTCAAATTAAAGATATAAATTTTAGATAATTGAAAGCCAATACACTATAATTTTAACGAATTCCATTTTAAGTTTAATTTTGAATTTTTAAATTTTGACACATCATAAAAATAAGGTTGAAATCTCAATTTATTTTTATAATTTTTTTCCTCAATATAAAAAGTATTTTTAATCTATTTTTATTCAATATGCAGAATATTCATTATTATTAACTAGAGGAAAATAAGATTTTGCATCTTTACACATTTATTTAAATAATAAAAATGACATAAATAAAGTTAAAAGAAAAAGACATTTTGAGCCCACTTTGCAGTCGAGTGATGAATAAAAGAATATAAAGAAAAAAGAGCATTTATCTTTTCTTTTTTTAGTGGTTACATATTTATGGTTAATTATTAATAGTATTATTGTCTTGAAAATAATAGAAACCAAAATAGAAGATATTTTTTTTATATATTGTTATAAATAAAATTATATATTAGTCCTTATATTTTATTTTTATCTATAAATTTCTATTTTAATTTATAAATAGTCAGGGCAAGTACAGTAGAATTCTAATTTTGGAAATCAAGTAAATAGGGGAGCTTTTACCTTACCAAGTGTACTGGATAGAAATCAATATATAAAATATATAGATACATAAAAGGCTTTCTCCCTTTATGGAATCAGTGGAATGCCTTGCTTCTAATAAATGAGGTCTCAATGAGACAATAGAGTAAATGTTTTGCTACCAGCTATAAGTTTCATGGTGGATGGAATTATGGTCAAGGCTCACACAGTTATTTGAAATATTGATCATCCACAGAAAGTTCAGGGACTAAAGGATTACCTTCCTCAAATTTCACTTTCAATATATTAAAAGAAAAAAAAGAGAGAATTTTTTTTTTCTTCTCCTTAGAGAGCCAACAATAATAATTTAATAACTTCATCACACTAACACAAATTAAGATATTTCTGCTATGAGAAGAAATTAAACTTGGGATTATTAACTACGTTAAAACAATTCACGATTTCTCATTAATAGTATTTGTCATTTAAAAATGAAATTTATTTGCAGTTTTAAATTTTTAAAAATGGATTTTATGAAGGTATATTAAGAAAAAACAATATAGCTAAATATATTAAATCTGCAGTTAACTTTAATGCATTTTTAATACAAAGATTGGAAATCAAAACAAAATGAAAAAAAAAAGATTTCTTATACCTTTTTCAGTTTAATGGGTTTTCAATTTTTTCCCTTTGATTTGAGTTGATTTTAAACCTATGAAAATTGCACATGCAGCTATTTACCAAACAGTGTTTGCAAAGCATTGGGCTCCTCTTTCTTCATTTATCTATTTATCGATAAAAAGAGAAACCTGTCACGGCGCTGTGCAAGTGAACCAAAACGAAAGGCAAAGTGAGTTTCGATTACGAAAAATGGCGTGTCGCTCTGTCATTTCATCTTCTCTTCACATAACTAACTCCATGGCCATAAAGGGTGTTCTCTCCTTCGCGCCCAACCCTCCTCTTCTTCATCGTCTCCCCAAAGCTGTCACCTTTGTTTCCTTTTCTGCTTCCACTAAACCCCCCACTAAGTCATTTCAAGGTTTTCTCGCCTTCTCTTATTCGTTTTGAGATATATTTTTGTTTTCAGTTTTTGGGTTTTTATGATTCAGTGTTTTCATATTGGTGGGATTGTCACTTGCTGATGTTGGTGTATTACATTGAATGAGCTGAGCCCAGTAATGTTATTTTGTTATTTTGGTATGTCCATGAATTGATATGTTATCCCTTTTGTTCGTCTAGTCAAGGGGTGTGGATATTGGTGTTTCAGGGGAGTAGAGAAGGTAGCAAGTTATTTGAAATTGATTGAGAGATATGGTATGGAAAAATAAGTTAAGTAAAGGAATGGGGAGATATGTAGTGATTTTTCTGATCATCTATTTTTTTGCAGGATTCTAATTTCTCTTTATTTTTTAATTAAATGGGTAGGTTTTGTATCGTTTTGTATGACGGACTAGTTTAGAGTCCACCATAATTTGTGTCTAACTTTGTGCTGTGTGAATGAATAATGATGGTTCTGTTTAGCTGTTTCACTGCTTTTTTGGAAGTAAGAATTGTAGTTTTGCTTTAAATTTGAGATTGCACGATGTTTTCAGACTTTCAGTGCTAGCTTTAAGGTAAGATACCGAGGAAGAGATGTTTCTCTTATGCAATTTGTGCTTTTGAGACACCTATTTATTGGCTATCGAGTATTTGATACCTTGTTTTTTATTATCAGTGAGATCAGTGGCTTCTACTACAGAAGCTGCATCAGGGTTTGATGAGATGGTTTCTGGGACTACGAGGAAGTATTACATGCTAGGAGGGAAAGGGGGTGTAGGGAAGACAAGCTGTGCAGCTTCACTCGCTGTTAAATTTGCCAATAATGGACACCCCACTCTTGTGGTTTCCACTGATCCAGCACATTCTTTGAGTGATTCTTTTGCTCAGGTTAATTACATGTGTATTCTTATTCTTATAGTTCTGAAGATGCTTACATGTTATCTGCTTCAAGATACAGTTGGATTATGCTCTGCATGACACAAGTTTTGCAATTTGTACTCTAGGATTTGACAGGGGGTGCGTTGGTGCCTGTGGAAGGACCTGATTATCCACTTTTTGCTCTTGAAGTAAGCTGGCATTTTTGTAGAATAAATTAGCTAATATTTAGCATCCAATTTATCTATTACATGATTGGTATTTTTGTGAGAATATGTGCATGTCGGTTAATATAATACCACTCTTCACTTATTTAAGTTTGTAGTTCCTTACTTCCTTTACAGATAAACCCTGAGAAATCTAGGGAAGAGTTTCGAAATGCTGCCCAAAAAAATGGTGGAACTGGAGTCAAAGACTTCATGGATGGCATGGGTCTTGGAATGATTGCAGACCAGGTAAAAATTTATTGAGATGCTGTCAGCACTTCTTGTTATGTATATCTTCTAAGTGGATGTTTTAATTGATTTATGCATGTTTTGGTTGCAAAAGTTGGGAGAGCTAAAACTGGGAGAGTTACTGGATTCACCTCCTCCTGGACTGGATGAAGCCATTGCAATCTCCAAGGCATGCATTTTATGTGCTGTGGTTATTTATTCCATTGCTAATTATTCATGTAATAATTATTTTTTGGCTCTTCTAACAATTTAAAGCCTCTTGTCAGGTTATGCAATTTCTTGATTCACAGGAGTATAGCATGTTTACTCGAATAGTATTTGATACAGCACCTACGGTGAGCAAGAAGCTGATAGTTATATATTTCGCGTCACCTTTGTGTTGAACATTATCTCATAAAATTTACTTATGTCCGTGAACAGGGTCATACATTGCGATTGTTGTCATTGCCTGATTTCTTGGATGCATCCATCGGGAAGATACTGAAGGTAAGAGTGCTAATTTTAATAGTAACAAACTCCTCCTCGCCCCATGGTTATCTAAATTACAGTTGATTCATGTCCTTTAGAAGCCACTGGATAAAATACTGAGCTTGATAATCCACACAATGTCTGAGATCTTGTTTCGAATGAAGTATTTATGTTCTGGAAGCTATAAGCATCGAATGCAAATTTCCCTGCTAATCAGCCAGTCTTGAATTGTTAGTTTACCTGTGAAGATGCGTATCAAATTGGGGAATGGATCCTCTCCAGGGACATTTTCATTGGATGAGATCCTACATCCTAGCCATTCAAAAAAATATTGAATATAATTTATTGTTAGTATAAAGTGGGGATTTAAAAAAAACAAGGGTGAGATTTTAACACTTAAGGATCTCAAGTTTTTTTTTTTTTTTTTTTCCACTTGAGAGAATCTCTTCTCATCAAATTGTGATTGGAAATTGTTGGAGTTCTATTGTTTACTTTCTTCCAAGGTTGTCCTCGTTCCTTAGCCAACTTATGCCTATATTTCCCATTATTTGAAGCGTAAATCTTGAATTTCTTTTCATTTATGATATAAATCTGATACATTTATACTTAGCATGCCATCTGTCAAAAGCAGAAAGAAATAATTGTTGAAACTTCTCTATTGGGTATTGACAACTCTATCTTCCCTGCCCCCTGTGCAAGCATTATGTAAAGATGCCCGATTCTTGGTGAGATTTCATTGAAAGTTTAGTGACAGATGCCCAAAATGTGTATTGATACAAGGGCTCACGTGTACTTAATCGTATTTAATCTTCCTTCTATTAGTGAACTGTCGAAGCAGCATAAGAGCACTTCCAGACTTTCTTTCTCCCCATCCCCTAGCCCCCAATACTTTCTACTTCCAAGTTCCAAGCCCAGAATTATCATTTCAATAGTCATTGATACCAATTATTCTGCTGCAGCTAAGACAAAAGATAGCTTCCGCTACCTCAGCAATTAAATCCGTGTTTGGGCAAGAAGAAACCCGGCAGAATGCGGTAAGATTTATACCTGTGTTAGTGTTGCATTTAGTTTCATCATAATATGCTCACCATTTGCTATATCTTGATTATGCAGTCTGACAAATTGGAGAAACTTAGGGAGAGGATGATAAAAGTGCGGGATCTCTTTCGTGATACTGATTCAACTGAATTTGTCATTGTTACAATCCCCACGGTATGACCTATAAATGTGTTCAACAACTGAATTTGTCATTGTTACAATTCCCATGGTGTGACTTATAAATGTGTTCAACAACTGAATTTGTCATTGTTACAATCCCCACGGTATGACTTATAAATGTGTTCAACAACTGACTAATATTTGAATAACTGGTGCATATAACAATATAATGGTGATTTGACTTGTAATTTAGTGTAGCCAATCCTATCAAGAATGATTGAAGGACTTCAGCTTTTAGGTTTAAATGCAATCAGGTGTGGTGGACTCGTAATGAGCTAAAATTGTCTGGTAGCTATATGGAAAGGGAATGATCATTTAATAGGGAATACCATTTCCCTTAAATTTGAGGGAACTACCCTTCTATTCCACGAATCATTCTTGTGTGATGGAGAAAAGCTGAGGTTAAGTACAAAAACTCAAAAAGAACAAGTGTTTGAGGGGATGGGAATCACAATTATATAAATAACAAAGATAAAGGTGATAAAGGAAATCAGGCTAAATTATAGGGGTTTGATTTACCTTTTGACAAGTAAAGAAGAAAGAAGTGAACTGAGCTGGGCACTTATAAAATGAAAGTGGAGCTATTATTGCCAGATTTATTTTGCTTTAAGAATTAACTACCTCCTATAATTTAAAAAAACGTAATAAATCAGTTTGGCTTTTGAAAAAAACAAAATATCCTCATTTGATTTACATAGCCAACCTCATCTAATGGGAAAAGACTTTTGTTATTGTTGTAGTTTACTAACTAAATGTTCATAGCTTAAGTGCGCATTTCTTAATCATTTATATGTGTCTTTACTCCCTAAGGTGATGGCAGTTAGCGAGTCATCTAGATTGAGTGCTTCCTTGAAGAAGGAAAATGTTCCTGTGAAGAGACTTATTGTCAACCAGATCCTTCCACCGTCTACATCCGATTGCAAGTTTTGTGCTATGAAAAGAAAGGTACTTCAACTGTTTTCTGTTTTATTTTTGCATGGATTTGATCTGAGTGGTTAACTATAATGTAATTCATGTGACACATTGTTGCTATGACTGAGAAACTGATAGCTGAGCACATCAAACAACTTGAAAGAGAAGGGAGAGAAAAACTCATGTCTTACATCCACTATTCATTTTTATTTAAAGGGTGAAAACTTAACATACTATGTACAAACATTCCAGGATCAGATGCGTGCTCTTGATATTATTCAGAATGATCCAGATCTCTCCAGCTTATTGATGATCCAGGCACCACTCGTTGATGTAGAGATAAGAGGTGTTCCAGCTCTCAAATTTCTGGGTGACATTATTTGGAAATGACTACCACACAGTTACTCAAGTAGTGATTAGGTAATACGTTTCTTTTAAGTGTATCATAGTACTAATTTAAGTATAATTGCTCTATTAAACTTACTATATTGTTATTAAAGGTTTGGGCAAAACTTACATGCAGTTCCATAGACTATAGGTACTTTTAGTGTTTGATCTTCAATTAGAATTGGAGTTTTATATCAATTATCAAGGTTAAACTCCAATTTTGATTAAAGAACATAAAAGCACCTATAGAACTGTTTCTAAAATTTTGTCCTGAAGTTTTTAAGTCATTGGATAATAACTTATAATTATAGTCATAGGTTTTTTTAGAATCGGATCATATGTTTTATAATTATGCTGAAATTATAATTTATCTTTTTCTTTAATATTGCTAGGTTAAATTTAGTAATTTGCTGAAGTTGGCAGTTGAACCATAGATTGATCGCATGACACAAGCTTATCAGATTTATATAATGAAGTTGTAGAGAGAGCATTTGAGATGTTCAAATTCCGATACTGGCAGTTCTTAAAGAGGCACTGGCTTCCATTATTTACAAGCTAGAGTTTCAAAACAGCAGAAAACTTTTTTTGTTTTTCACATTATAAACAGTGTTATTGTATATTTATTGCTCCAGTACTTGTATTGTATCTATACTATTTTTTTAGTTCTCTCCACATTTGGTCCTTTTATGTTGGGGATTGTGATCTTTTATGTTTATAAGTGCTGACTGTTCTTGATGCACAAATGAAACAACATAAGAAAAGTTACATTTCACATAGTGATTATTCATTTCAAATACGGGTTTGTTTTTACGATGAGCTATAAACCTCAACAATATATGAAAGCTGTAATGTGTTTCTTATAATTAGAACAAAAAGTGCTCCAATATATATATATATATATATATATATATATATAAAAGTACCGGAGGTATTACAATATTACAATCATTCCGATGTATCATGCTGCAATAATTTTAGACTTTCTTGGTTCTACACTTTTACTAATCAATTAATTACTAAATTTAGTAGCAGTGAAAATTAAATTCACTAGAATACAAACACAATCTAAATGGAATTCAACTATGACTCGACTAACTGATCACGTCTAACATGCATATTTAGGCCGATAACCAGTATCAGCCCCAAAAAAATTATCTGACATTCTTCAAATGATGAGTCCTAATGTAATCCCCATTAGCTTTTGGTCATACTGCCCTCTCTAATTTGTACAACTCATTTGTAAGACATAAAATTTGGTAGCCTGAAGCTTGGTCTTATTTCTTTCGGAAGGTGACCATACAGAAAAATGCTACTACCCGGCCAATTACACCCATTAGAATAAGGATGGATATGCATAAACTCCAATCATGAAGATTATATCCACTTTTCAAAAGTGAACCACAACGTGTTATGAGCCACACTCCCTGATACCTGCAGCATAAAAGAAATTAACAGCATGTTCAGTATCCAGATCCAAATGTTTTACTGTTAACAATTAATTAACTAATACCAAGAACTATCTATCACTCTTCTTGTTCTTTTATTTTTGCAGGTACGACTCAAAACCTTTTCTTGGAATATGCATTAATAACATCTAATTCCAATAAAGCCAAACATATCAAATTAGTTTTTTCTTCAAGCTATTTAGTGATTTAATAAATCAAGAATCGTCCTGGACAGTTTACCTTTCAGCATTTGCAACAACTAATGCTTGTAAAGCCCACTTAGAGTAGCATAAACTAGCTATATTCTTCAAAATTTTGCTCTCTTTTGGTTGTGTTGCAATTAGTGTCAAAACAACTGGAAGAAGTACTGACCACTGTAAAAAGAAACAGAAATGTGTTAGAGGAGAAATGGAAACATAATGATGAGTAAATTTAGTTGTGGGGTTGGTAAAATTTGTATTACCAGCTGAGCTGCACCAGGTTCAAAAAGTATGGACAATGCATATGCTATGCCAGTGACACAGTACACAAGACAAAGCAGCACAACATAATTATCTGCAAAAGTTGACCTTGGATTGGTGAAGAAATAGAACATAGAAAGATACACCACAGGCTTGATCACTGTATTAAAATGATCAATTGTGTCTTTGGAGAGAAAATAAGCCAAGCTGCTCATGCCAGAATCACTCTCCCTCCAATAGTGTAATTTATCCAGGGAAAATGATCTCAAGGCCGCTATTTTGCATAGAAGAGCTGAAATTAACAACAAAAGATTAGAACAAAGCGTTGCTCACATGAATGCTAGGTAGATTAATTGAAATGATATTTATATGACTTACATACAGCAATCACCGTATAGGTGTACCCAGCTGCACCAAATGTTTGATCACTTGCTTTGGTAAGTGATCCTAAGCAGGCTCCAGCAATTAACAAAATAAGATAATCTATGGCTTGGATCCTAGCTTCTCGTAATCGCTGCTTCCCAACCCTGAAATGACATTAGTATCGAGTAAGTACCAGCAACTAACAAGAAAATGCAAATGCCAAATTGAACAGACATGTGCTTTATTAAGATTTTATAAGCTACTCTTTCTCCTATAAAAGATCACAGTACCAAATGGGGCATGAGAAGAGAAATAATGATGACAGCACCTTATAAGAAAATATTTATATTGCTTGAATACACCAGGAGTTTTCCGGTTAGATAAATCCTTGGATTTAAAAAAATTGAGTCTGATCTTCTCCCCCCTCAGTTTCACATTGTTTCTCATATCTTGCCATAATTCTCCAGCAAAGGTTTTTTCCACGTGATCAGATCCATTGGAATCTGTTACATTAGCTGAATTTACACTCTCAGAAATTTCAAATTGAACCGCATTCTGCCTCATATCAAGAGGTATTGGATATCCATTTTGAAGCATCCATCTAACTGGAAGCTCTTTATAACTGAGTCCTGAGCTTCCACCAGGTGCTGCTATACCCTCCAAAATGTCAATGATGTAATCTGGGGGATTAATCCGCTCCGGAATAATGATCCCCAAGCTTGAAAAGTATTCTTCAACTTTCTTGGCAGATCCATGATAGACAGTAAGACCACCTTTTCCCAGAAGTATCAGATCATCAAACATCTTGAACAAAGCATAGCTGAAGCAGAAAGTTACAGTCATTAATAAATCAAAAGGACAGTAGTTTTACTGTTAACAAATCACAAACAGAAGTGTTATAATTCATGATTACAAATCACAATTAGAAGTGTTATTATAGAATGTTAAAATATAAAAATTCAAGTTTTGATACAAAGGTATAATGTGTGTATCGGTATCTGGTACGGGTACAATAAAGATACATCACCAATTTTGAAGTATACATGCATCAAAGCCCACGAAACATTAAGAATAAAATAAAATTCTAGTACTGTAAATGGTAGCTGGGAAAAAAATGAGCAATGAGGCAAGCAATATACCAATTATGCAGACATGGAATTAAAATTTACCTGGGTTGATGAACCACCATGCAAATGTTCACTCCCTCAAGAGCTTCACGTCTTAGTGCTCTTAGAAGGAGCTGAGATGATGCACTGTCCAAGCCAGATGTGGGTTCATCCAAGATCAAGAGTGAAGGTTCCATAACCATTTCCAATCCAACATTTACACGCTTCCTTTGGCCTCCAGAGATCCCTCGCTTTTCCACAGTTCCAACCAGGGAATTACGCACAGATTGAAGCCCCAAGAATTCAATAACTCTTTCAACAACCAATACTTTTTCTGGTTTTGACAAGTCAGCAGATAGCCTTTAACAAAAATACATTTGAATCAGCACATATACAAACACACAAAAGCTACCATAAACAATATCTTATGTACAAGTATTAGAAGAGAACGGCAAGACAAGCAAGGCAAGACAAAAGAAAACTGATATAGTGGGTATACATCTATGATGATGATGAGAAATTCAAAAGTATTGATTCTTGCTAGAGTATCTAAAATTAAAGTATGATGAAAATTGAGAAAGCTTAAAAGTCTATAAGATGACTTAAACATCCCATTTAAATGAAACAGACTCCCCTTAAATTATAATCATGCTTAGTGCTATATGACTAATGGAAACTCCATCCCGGGTTGATTAAGGGAGAAAATATACACATTTATATTTGAAATACTTCAGTGAGAAAATGGATACTTTAAAATGTCCAACAATGCAATATACCTGCACTGTGCACTGAACCAGAGATTCTCTTCCACTGTCAGGTTTCCATGAACTACATCATCTTGTGGCACGAAGCCAGTAATTTTCTTAAAGGAGTGGATTGATTCATTCCTTCCATTTATAAGAATTGAACCAGTGACTGAGCATCCCAATGCCTTTCCGGCTAGAGCAGAAAGAAATGTTGTCTTGCCAGCCCCTGATGGACCCATTACAGCAGTGATGCGGCCAGGTTTAATTTTCCCAGTAACATATCTCAATATATGTTTATTTTGAGCTTTCAATGTAAGAGTCAGATCCCTGAATGAAATCTCAATTAAAGGCCTTTTCCTTTTTTCAGTGTTTGTAGCCATTTTAATTACTCCTGAGAAGGTAAGTTTCTTGTTTTCTTGTTGCTGAGCTTTCTCCTTTTCAAGTTGAGCATATGCATACTTAAAAATTTGGCTATGAGTATGCGCTTGTTTTCCCTTTGACACATTTGCTGGAACACTTTTATCTCTAGTTTCTATTTCTGTATTAATGTTGTCGTTAATATCAGGATCATTTTCAATTTCATGTATTATATGCATTAGACCCCTGGATTCTTTTCCCTTTTCCTTTGGCGCTGCAGATGAACTTGGAATATTGATGCTTGAAGCTGTAGGTCGCGAATGTGGCAACAATTCAACATCTGCTTCAGAAGTTGTTTGATTCAAAATCTTAATCTTTTCCAGAGTTGCTGCATCCTTCTTGAAGGTGCGTGATAGTTGAGCTTGCAGCCCCATTGCACCTTTCTTGGTGGCATCTTTTGCAAAGTGCCATCTTTGGCGTGCATTTGCAGTCTTCCTTGCACTTCTAGCTGCTGCTTCTCTAGATTTGGCCACTCTTCTTTCCCTAGTAGTCAGAACTTGGTCAGAACAATTGTAAATAATGAGTAGCAAAGTACTCAAAGCAGCCTGCATAAGCAGTTAAAGAGTGTTAACTTCTACCAACATGGTATTTGTGTGTGTGCACATGTACGCCTATCTATTTCTCGATGTGACATGGTACTAAGCATTGAGCATGACTCATACATCATCTTTGCATTATAAAAAGCAGGAACCATTAAATAATAAATATACAAAATTTTTGTGAGTGAGCATATGTCCAATACAGCTACTTTAGTCACAAAATATTGTTGTTGTTCCCTTTGATAATCAATTAAACTAACAACTTAATGAACTAAAATATAAGTTTGACTTCTCAGTGATGCAGATCAAAGGAAAGGAAAGAATTTTTGGAGAGAGAGATTGAAAGATGGAGATATAGAGAATGGGTAAAATGTATACTAAGGAGTGGGAAAAAAAGTCTAGGAAAATTTTCAATTCTCAATTCAAGTTTTTAAGTCTCTAAAAATCAGTACTCATCCATCCTTAAATAGGCAAACCCAGTTTCATTTGGAAGAAGTCCTAAATTGTTAAAAGCCAAACAACTCGCAATTTTTTAAAATACACTAATATTAATAGCCGCCAAATTACTAGTAATAAATTCCCAAACAGTGAAATTCCTATCAATGCAACTATATCCCATTGTTTCATTTCCATACCCTAGCATTCAGATTCAGAACCAACAACTTACAATAAGCATAATTCCATATGCATGCATATTCTGGGTTGCTGTGTTTGAATTACATGAACTCAATTT